CTTGAAGCGAAGGGTCCTAGGAGGGTTCAGAGAAGTCCTGGGACAGTACGAAGTGTCCCAACACTTGAACGAAGGGTACTAGGAGGGTTCAGAAAAGTCTTGAGACAGTAACGAAGTGTCCCAACATTTGAACTATGGGTCCTAGGAGGGTTCAAAAAAGTCCGGGGACACTAACGAAGTGTCCCAAAACTTGAGCGAAGGGTCCTAGGAGGGTTCAGAAAAGTCCGGGGACAGTAACGAAGTGTCCCAACACTTGAGCGAAGGATCCCAAGGACTGAAATTGATTTAAATTCAAAACTGATTTAAACTAATTTGATTGATTTTAGCTTTTAATAAACAAAATTTTTATGTATATATACATAATTCCAATCAGACTTCACAATAGGGACTTGTAAAAATTAAAATTGTAAATAAAGAAATTGTATACAAAAATCATGAAACGAAATAGGGTATCGATAACCGAAAGAAAAAGCAACAAGACAAAAACAGAATCAAACCTCGTCGCAACGGAAAGCACCATCAAATCGGAAATATTGAAAAAGAACATTTCAGTACACATGGTCAATACAAGAAGCATAAAGGAGAATAAGGCCTAGGAGAAAGCAGTAGAAGAACCAACTGTACCGGCTAGAGAAACCGATCTTGAGACACCAGATCAGAGTGTTGACGGGGTGGAAAGAAAGACAACGGAATCAACATCAATGCCAAATGCAGAGGAACAAGAAAAGAAGACGATAGAGTTCTCACCAATTGAGATTGTAGACGACACAACAAGCAACACGCCGGAAACGATAAAAGACTATTCTCAAACAAAAAGAACGTCGTTCACAGAGAGGATTGCAGCGATGGTCGGAATGAAACCAAGAGAGAAAGAAGAGGTGATACCAACGACCGAGAAAAGCAAATTATTTGGAACAGTTTCCCCAATAACAACAGAGGCCAAACAAGAAGAAGAGCAGGTCACACATGGAGCAACGGCTAACCACGAGAAAACAATTTCGTTTCAGCTGGGCGACTTGATGGCAAAGTTGGAGCAAATCGACAAGAAACTGAAGTACAGTGAGGAGGATCGCCAAGAGCTAAAAAGGGAAATACGATACAACAAGAATGAGAACCTGGACAACTGCTTCAACCTGGCAAGGGCGACGGAAGTAAAGCTACAGCAGATGTCAAACAAGGTAGAGGCTACCGACAAAAGCGAGAGAAACATATCAAGAAAGATATGGAAGAAGTGAAGAAACGGTATGGCACCGTGAACGAGAAATTATGGAATCTAGATACAATGGGGAGGGAACAAGCTGACAGTTCTTGTGCCATACAGTCCAAACTGTATGCTCTCTTGAGAAACTCATTAACCCAAGACAAGTCAGTGGTGGAAATGCCATCGGGAACTAGAGTCCATTTTGCGGAACCGCAACGAAAGAAACGAGAATCTACACCGTTAGCACGGACTGATAGCACCATAGCGTCGGGATGAATAAGGACTGCCATGAAAGTGGGTGTCTCAAACACAGCGAGGACAAAAGAGGATTCAGGACCAAGTATAGTTGTACAACCGGATGCCATGACGTGGGCCAGTACCTGGGAAATGATGAACAAGACTCTTGAATCATTCGCAACAAGGAACACAGACTTCAAGAGACAGATAGTGGCAAATCTCGAAATACCTTCAAAAAACCTAAGAAATTCAAGGACGATTCAGATGGTTGCATTGATACATGGGTTGAGATAATGAGACTCCATCTAGAACAAGATAAGTTGAACGACGAAAGGCAGGCCTGCACGGCAATACTAATCAATTTAGAAGGCACCACACTAAAATGCGTGGTAGCAAAAAAGGAGAAGGAACGTGATACAGCGGACAAGATCTTCGAGATACTGTTGAACCAATTCGGGTCGGGGATGAGAGGTCATCAATTGATGATGAGATTTGAAAAAAGAAGACAGAGGGAAGACGAGTCAATCGATAGATTCCTGGATGATCTTGAGAGCTTGAAAAGAAGAAGCGACCCGGAAGAGTCGACGAATAGAATAAACTTTAGCATCGCCTCAAAGTTTTTTGACGAGGTGAGAAGTGACGACTTGAGAACAATGCTGGCAACGTATTATACACTATCAAAGGATACTGCATCGACCCCAGAGGAGATGAGACAAAAGTCAAGAGAATACATGTTAATGAAACCAAAGAAGTACTCATACTCAGAGGGCAGGAACATGCAAGGGGGGAGCCAGCCACAAAGGTCGTCATGGTACAAGCCTATAGACGACATGGACAAACGTAGGTCTTTTGCAAATTGTGGATCAGCAGATCATCATGTGATGGATTGCACCACATATAAGCAGGACATGAAGAGCTTGGGATACGCACCGGAAGAAGAAGACATGAGTCAAACGGTAGAACATGAATTTTACAGTGGCCTGATCATCAAGATAGGCGCGAGGTGCTTTTTCTGCAATCAAGAAGGCCATTTCAGAATGGAATGTCCCCTGTAGTGGGGTGTAGGGAAGAATCCGAATCACCCGAAACACAAGCTAGCACTGGCAGCAGTGCAAATTACTAGGAACAGACAAGCTGAAAACGATTTGAACAAAAAAGAAGCTGCGAGTTGTGACTTGTCAACAAAGACAGTAAAGGCCGTGACACAAAACAAAGATGCCAGGGGGTCCGAGAAAATAAACTCTCTAGAGATAAACTACGAGAGGGCAGCTGCAGAAGCGATCGATAAAGTGAAGCAAGACTTGGCGACGAAAGAAATCGAACAACGGCTTAAACAGGAGATAGAAAAACAGAGATTGAATGAGACACTCTGTATGACAAGACCAGAACCGGAGACCGGAGAGAACTCGATGAGCAGGAGCAACTGCTACACCTTGAAAATGGTAACTGGAAAACCATTTGGCATCACGAAAATTGGGTCAAGAATCATTTCAACACTCACAGTGGGCGGCAACGAAGTAACAAGAAACCTGACTGAACCGAGTGATCAGACAGTGATGCACGTAGATACAATAAGCCCGCAAACTGCTTCTAGAGCTTTAAGGGCATTACTCACGAGAGGTGATAGCAAATCAGTTCGCGTAGACAACAGATACACAGAAGCCTATGGACCACATGAGGTCATGTTGAATATAGATGGTATAAACATCCCTACAAAAACGATGATAACATGTGATGAGGATCTTGCCGGGCCATTCTATGTTGGTACAGAGGAACTAAAAGTGAGATCCTTTTGGCAGTGTAGGATACTGGAGGAGGATGCCATGTATCTGGTGACAGAAGCTGACGTGTCTGCACACGTATTGGACTTAAATGGAAAGAAGACACAACTGCGTGGGTTCTTGGACGCGGGAGCCGTCTTGAGTGTAATACCAATTGAATTTTGGAGAAGAATGGGATTTGACAAAGATGACCTGATCGATTCAAGCTTACAACTGTCAGCAACAAACAAGGGGGCGCTTCGGGTTATAGGTAGGACACCAATAATAGCCCTTAACCTGTGAGAACGCAATCTGTGGATGAGCTTTCTGTTGGTGGAGAATCTAGATGAGTCTGACCAATTCATTTTAGGGAGAGATTTCATCAGGAATTTCGATGTAACTATTGATCTTAACAATGCGATGTTCAGGGTTCGGAACCCGGAAAGGAAGTACGTAGTTAAACTGGTAAATTTGATAATGGCGAATGAAAATAAGGCTCCAGTTTAAATAAAGCTGAAAACAAATGAAGCGGCAATAGTAAGTTTAAGAATGAAGAACTATAATGAACTAAGTGACAACAAACAAGTATGTATAGTACCCAATCCAAAAGTCAAAGTGCTGCTATTTTAGGAAGATCCTTCTCGATAAACAAGGGTGGCCTCTGCGTCAGTGTCTTTTTGGGTGCTCTTGATATACCAATCACACTCCGGAGGGGAAGGCAGCTTGGATACGCACTGCCAGTGAAAACTAGGTATGAAATAACTGAAAAAGTGAAAGAAAATGAAGTTCTTGATTGCCCCAATCACAGGGACAAAATTTGTATCTTGAGACGATTGAAGAAATTAAACTGTTAATCAGGTCTTGTGAAGTCACTTAAGTCAGAGACAGACAACGGACTGTCGGGTTGTTCGAGTTTCTAGAAAAACCCACGCTAGAGCAATTGGAAATGGATAAACCAATATTACCAGAAATTGAACAGTTAAGGGGGAAGGTATCAGATGAACAGCTCGAAGCAATCAAGGACGTTCATGATAGGAATCAGGATGTATTTTCGAGACATAAGGCAGACATTGGAAGCTGCAACTTTGTTGAACATGAAAAAGAGTTAGAAGAATTGGCGGTGCCACATAGGGAGGGGGCGAGTTGTATGACCTCAAACAAATATGATGATTGTAGAAAAGAGATAGAGACCCTACTAGAGTATGACAGGATAGAACCATCCAAATCACCGTGGGCGTGTGGAGTAATGATGGCTAAGAAGAAAGGAGACCAAATTAGGTTTTGTGACTTTCGATATCCGAGCTCCGTCACGGTGAAGGATGCCTATCCCATACCTAGGATAGATGAATGTCTCTCAAAATTAGATGACGCGAAATTTTTCACAACTCTTGTTCTAGGGTCGGCTTTTTGGCAGGTACCACTGAGGAAGCAAGACAGAGACACGACGGGTTTTGCATGCGAACTGGGGTTGTTTCAAAGGAAGAGGATGCTCCTTGGCCTCTGCAATGCGACAGCCACCTTCCAACGACTAATGGCACAAGCGCTGACGAGCGTAACGAAGAAATATGGCAATTTAGTTATGTGCTACGTAGATGACGTGGTGATTGCCACACCCACACTGGAGGACCACATTGAACGAATGCACGAGGTGCTTACTTGTATGAAGAGAGCGGGACTGAAGTGCAAGCCATCGAAGTATGAAATTCTAAAGGACTTGATCAAATACCTGGGAAGAATGGTGGACGAAGAATCATTCATTCCAAAGAATAAAAAAGGATTTGTATGAAAAACCAGAGTTGGGGATGCCCACGGAAAAAGGAATGTACGTGCTGGACACGGATGCATCAGTGATAGCAATCTCTGGGATACTCCACCAAGAACAGGAATGGAAAGGAAATACAGTCTTGAGACCGATAGCTTACGGGAGCAAAGTCTTGAGTGATACAAAGATGAAGTACGGAGCACCCAAGGCGGAGATGTTCGCGGTAGTGACCTTTGTAGAAAAATATAGATCATATTTGGGCAGCGAGCCATTCAAGCTACGAGTCGACAACAGAGCACTCAGTTGGTTAAAAAGGTATTCACTGGATCAGAGCTATATCGGGAGATGGATAATGTGCCTGGATGGTTACGACATGATCATCGAGCACAGGACAAGGGACAAACATCAGAACGCCGACAACTTGAGCGAAAAGACGAAGTTTTACGAGAGACAGGAGCAAAAGGAGGCCGACAGGCCTGAGATCAAAAATGGATTCTCGTTTATGGACAAGGAGACGTACGACAATCTTCCACTCACGATGTGGCTTGACAAGTCAGGGAAACCAATAGAGGACGGGCAGTCCAGGATGAAAGCACAGAAGCTTTGCGTCCCCAGGGAAACAATGGCCCCTTTGCAGGCATCTCAGCCTGCAACGAGCTCTAGGAACAAATTACCCGATCCTTCAGACAACTACATGGCTCCTCAATTCCATGAAATATTTGAACAAGTAGCCAGAGCGGCGATGAACGGAAACAATGGAACCAGCGGAAACGGACCTTCCTAACGCACAGATAGCTCTTCAAGCAACTCAGACCGAACTCAGGCGATTGTGCCAGCGGGAGCAAAACGTGGCGAGACTACCTTGAGGTCTCGTGTGGTAGACATCAGAAAGAATCGTGCGGTCAGCAACTTCTTTTTGCAAGAGGCCGAGGAGCAACCTCGAGCCTGCCTAAATGGGATGAGCTGGAGCCCTGCCGTCAGCAATCAAGCAATTTGTTCGGGCAGTCGTCATCTGATTATAATGGACAGCTTGGTGAGGGATCTGAACGAGATCTTTGTGGGTAGTCAGACCACTGTTCTTTCCTTTAGATGATCCTCCGTGGCCCAAGCGATCAAGATGACGGAGTTCCAGAACAAAGATCAACTGTTCACGCTGATAGTAATGACCACCAACGACATCTCAAGGGCTTCGGTTACCCCAGAGAGCAGATGGGAACCTCTGTTGGTCTGCCTTTCGACTGAATTGAAGGAAAATACAAGCCGAGGTTCGTGGTGTGTGCACGTTTGCCCAGAATCCGGAAGTGGGTACAGCAGTGGCTGACTTTATGAATGGCAACGTGGCTCGATGGAATGAAATGATCCGTAATCTGGTCAGGAGCAATCCAGTCGAGTTAAGACTCGTGGATCTTGAGAACACGTTGCGCATGACTGACCAACTCGCGCTCACCAGAGATGGCATACCTTTTAACACCCTACAGGGAAGGTGATATATCAACGACGCCTTTCAGACAAATATCAAGGAGCTACAAGAAGAACCTAGGACGACTGACTCCCTGGCTGGGACTCGTTTGACTGGAAGAGGCAGAGTGATGAGCAGTGTGCCGGAGTCACTCACTAATCGTCTTGGGCCTCTGGCATCGGAAGCGAATGGTACTGCTCCCGCGGCTCCCAACTCAGACGTAAGAGAAAAGCTAGAGACTGCTCTCCCTCCTCGAAGACAACCATTGGAGAGCCGACTGGGAAGACCTAATGACCAAAACCAAACGAGCTCCCAGATCTCCACGAGTGCAAGTAACTTGCCTGCGACGATCCCTGCTCCTGCATGGAATTCATCGGCGAGTACTGTACCTTCAGAGGGAGTTGAATCGTCCAGTGTGCTGCTCTGGAACCGTCCATATCTCAGCGAATGGGGACAATACAAGGCTGAAATGGTAGCGAGTTTAAATATGAACACGTTGACGTGTAGATCAGACGCTAGAAGAATGATGAACGGAAATGGCCCCAAGGTGTCAGGATTGTACACGGTGTCAGGATTGTACCTCGGTGGGTTGCCTCAGGACAAAACCATTGAAAGTCCGACGGAGGTCCAGAGAATTGATACCACCTCTCAGAAAGGTTAAGTTCACGACAGAAAAACATCCTAACCAGATGTATAGGCAGTTCTCCGAGCCGCCGGGCCAATTGCCTGATGAATATTCAAGAGACCATCACCGTACAAGCTCGGTAGAAGGGGACGACAGGAGGTATAAAGGACTGGACACACCGATGGGTGGTAGTTTGTTTGCTGCCTATGACCCTCTCGACATCATGAACGCTAAGTATTTGATAGTGGCTAGTTCGGATTACCTCTACACGCCTCGTTCTCTCTTTTGGCCAGACGTGATTTTTCTGACGGCTCCCAAACTGGATTGGGGACAAGCAAAAGGCATGGCGATAAGCGTGCAGAGAATTATCAGTCTGGATCCACAAGTAATAATAATAGCCGGCTCAAATGAGGGACGATTCGACGTGGTCATTCTCGCGCCAATCAGATCTATCGATCCGAACCCCTATCAATTCCTTCGCTCTGAACTTCCTGCTGTCTGGGCAGACATTTCTAACGCAATCCATGGATTAAAAGAGCACAGAAGGACCCATGTGGTGCTGGATGACGTCCTGGGGTTGAAACTGTCCAACTTCGCTAGGTTATTAAAGTTAAGACCAGGATTGAATGACGACCACGTATTGGCGCAGCAGGTGGCGAATGACCTCTGCTTTAGGCAAGTAGATTATGAGAAGAACGCGCAGGAAAAAATGGTGGCGGAATCTGACGTCATCAGAGGAGGACCTCCTGGCACTGGCCTTTAGGACAAAACCGCACACTAATTCGTGGCTGTTTTTGTCGCCTAGAGTGTGTCCGCTGGGAGACGACGCCCATGAACATGCTCCAGCAGTAATAAAAGATATCCACGTGTAAATGAAGAACTTGCTGAACGAAAGGGAGCTAGCTGGAGGTTTGATCTTGCAGTTGATGCAGGATGTGAACACAATGTCGCTGGAAAAATTCCAAGCGGTAGTTTTAGCCACGAAGGCACAAAATGAAAAATCCGATGCGATCCTGGGCGGAATGGGAGTGGGATGGATGCCATCCTTCTTGTCCACGTTTTATCCGAGGGCCTCCAGGAACCTGATAGCGAGCTTTGTTAAAGACATCAGGAAGTTGCCGATCCGCCCAGTGCTGGCTATGTGCCAGCCTAGTCTCAGTAGTAGATTGTTCTGTACTAAATTGGGTGGAACAAAAAGAACTGAGAGGGCTGGCCAGTGACGACAGACTGTTTGGAAGAATAGCGGAGCCTAGATGGATATTGATGGACTTTAATAATAACTTTAAGTGTCAGATGAGCGGTGAAGACCTTTCCCATATCCAATTCAACCCCATGTTCTGGAATCTGCGACCGATAGTGAAAAATTCTGTTGAGGCGATGCGAGTTCCGTCCTGGCCGGAAGCGTACGCACACGTTGGGGAAAATCAGCAGGTGTGGCTTGCAGGGTCCAGGCTTTTACCGGACCAGTGCCCTCTGTACCTGCCGATAAGGATACTGCTAGGAGTTACGTCTCCTGTCATTGGACCTCAGTTCGGAGCAGCTCGCGATGTGGAAGAGAGAATACAGAAATGGAGTGATTGAATGGAGCCACGTTTTATCAGCTGGAATGTTGCGGCAATGCATACATTTGATTTCAGTTTTCTCGATGCATGGAGTCGAAAGAAGATGAAGGCACCACCCCCTAGGAAGCCCGGAGTTTTCTCCGACGTGTAGAATAACGTGTATCCACCAGCTTACGATTGGTCCAGACTGAAGTGGCCAGGAGAAGAGAAAGTAATATTGTTGGAACTATCAAGGGAGTGCAGAGGAGGCATCTACATGACGGTGGACGAGCTGGCGCCACATGGTGTTGAATTGGTGGAATTCCTAGTGAACGATGAGGTATTTTACCACGCAGGTGACCTGACTGTGCCGGCTCGGCCGGACTCGGGCATGGATATGCACCAGGGCCCTTCAGGACCGGAACGAAAACCAGATGATGCCAACAAAATTTGTATCTTGAGACGATTGAAGAAATTAAAATGTTAATCAGGTCTTGTGAAGTCACTTAAGTCAGAGACAGACAACGGACTGTCGGGTTGTTCGAGTTTCTAGAAAAACCCACGCTAGAGCAATTGGAAATGGATAAACCAATATTACCAGAAATTGAACAGTTAAGGGGGAAGGTATCAGATGAACAGCTCGAAGCAATCAAGGACGTTCATGATAGGAATCAGGATGTATTTTCGAGACATAAGGCAGACATTGGAAGCTGCAACTTTGTTGAACATGAAAAAGAGTTAGAAGAATTGGCGGTGCCACATAGGGAGGGGGCGAGTTGTATGACCTCAAACAAATATGATGATTGTAGAAAAGAGATAGAGACCCTACTAGAGTATGACAGGATAGAACCATCCAAATCACCGTGGGCGTGTGGAGTAATGATGGCTAAGAAGAAAGGAGACCAAATTAGGTTTTGTGACTTTCGATATCCGAACTCCGTCACGGTGAAGGATGCCTATCCCATACCTAGGATAGATGAATGTCTCTCAAAATTAGATGACGCGAAATTTTTCACAACTCTTGTTCTAGGGTCGGCTTTTTGGCAGGTACCACTGAGGAAGCAAGACAGAGACACGACGGGTTTTGCATGCGAACTGGGGTTGTTTCAAAGGAAGAGGATGCTCCTTGGCCTCTGCAATGCGACAGCCACCTTCCAACGACTAATGGCACAAGCGCTGACGAGCGTAACGAAGAAATATGGCAATTTAGTTATGTGCTACGTAGATGACGTGGTGATTGCCACACCCACACTGGAGGACCACATTGAACGAATGCACGAGGTGCTTACTTGTATGAAGAGAGCGGGACTGAAGTGCAAGCCATCGAAGTATGAAATTCTAAAGGACTTGATCAAATACCTGGGAAGAATGGTGGACGAAGAATCATTCATTCCAAAGAATAAAAAAGGATTTGTATGAAAAACCAGAGTTGGGGATGCCCACGGAAAAAGGAATGTACGTGCTGGACACGGATGCATCAGTGATAGCAATCTCTGGGATACTCCACCAAGAACAGGAATGGAAAGGAAATACAGTCTTGAGACCGATAGCTTACGGGAGCAAAGTCTTGAGTGATACAAAGATGAAGTACGGAGCACCCAAGGCGGAGATGTTCGCGGTAGTGACCTTTGTAGAAAAATATAGATCATATTTGGGCAGCGAGCCATTCAAGCTACGAGTCGACAACAGAGCACTCAGTTGGTTAAAAAGGTATTCACTGGATCAGAGCTATATCGGGAGATGGATAATGTGCCTGGATGGTTACGACATGATCATCGAGCACAGGACAAGGGACAAACATCAGAACGCCGACAACTTGAGCGAAAAGACGAAGTTTTACGAGAGACAGGAGCAAAAGGAGGCCGACAGGCCTGAGATCAAAAATGGATTCTCGTTTATGGACAAGGAGACGTACGACAATCTTCCACTCACGATGTGGCTTGACAAGTCAGGGAAACCAATAGAGGACGGGCAGTCCAGGATGAAAGCACAGAAGCTTTGCGTCCCCAGGGAAACAATGGCCCCTTTGCAGGCATCTCAGCCTGCAACGAGCTCTAGGAACAAATTACCCGATCCTTCAGACAACTACATGGCTCCTCAATTCCATGAAATATTTGAACAAGTAGCCAGAGCGGCGATGAACGGAAACAACGGAACCA